GGGTTTAAATAAAATATATAAGAATTCGCCTAAACAATGTTAAGTGACTGCTTCCGCCGCGTGCAGAGTAATTTATTAACTTGCTTTATACTTAGGACCATGCATCTCAAGTGTGTATAAAAAATGCTAAACCTTTTAGGAATTGTTACAAAAACGTTACCTAAATAATAATGCCCATAATTTTAGTTATTGTTACTACTAAATAAAGTATTAAATGTTTATTTACTATACTAGATAGACAAGCCAATTGTTTCCGTCCTAGTCTTTTTTGTTTGACTGGAAAAGGTGTTAAAAGAAACAGGTGACAATTTATGATAAGAGACATAGTGATGACGCCTTATCGAAGTTGACAATATTGAGACATTGACAGAGGTCGAACTTGGCTAAGGCCAATATAACTTAGTAACTTAGACAAGGCGTTATATTTCAAGCAAAATCGTATATATGTAATACCTAATATTAATAATATTGTTTTTCTAGCACACAGCTTATCATCTAGGCCAAAGTGACAAAAGTCACGAACTGAACAGGCATTTTAATTTGGGCCTTTTCAATTAATTGCGAAGCCCACATCAGATAATAGATGAACGTTTGGCAGTAATATTACCCAAAGAAATCGATGTCACTTCCGGAAATTTAGAAAGCGAAATTACATGGTACAGAAATTGGTGCAAATAATTTAAAAGCATTTTCATTTGCCGCTTCAAATAACGTTCTGCATGAGCTCATCTTTATATTGTACGATCCATAAGTCGGCACATATTATTCGCTGTTTTGTAGAAAACGCGAAGCCATAGAAATGTGGCGAATATGCCATTGGCGACTTTGTGTCCCTCTATGTATTAAGGACTTTGTTTTAAATGAAATACATATTATATTCAATGCAAAAAGAAGAAGTAGGAACAATATTTCCATATTTAAGTCGCATTTGGAGTTTTATACTTATCACAAATTTGTACCGCAATATACGATAGTGTACGATATGCAATATTAAATTTATCGTTTCATCTTATTGCTTTGTTACATTTAGTAGCATAGACGCACTCCGACGACGACCTACTAGTTAATTGAATTAATAGTACCCCAGCCCAGTTGCAGCAAACACTCGACACCCTATTTAACTTTACACCGCGTCATACAACATGTCATACGCCGGACTGAATAATAATTAAAACTGTATGTAGTACTCAATATAGTACTGCAAGACATTTTTTTCTTCTAAAATAGAAAGTTTCAGTTAAAAAAAAAGAAGTATCGTACATTATCATGACAATAATTATTGTCTTATTTATACAGTAATAATAACAAAAGTACATAATTCCAAATTTTGGTTTTAATAAAGGAAATATAATTATTGTTATATTTAATTAAACCTTATTTTTTGTCGTATTTAATAATTCCCGCCATTATTGGATTGTTTGAACAAAAGCATGAATAAACTAATCTTACACGGTCCTTTAAGTATAACACTGACTTTCGTCAGGTACACCAATAAAGTATATGACGTCACCAAAGACTTTTAGTATCCTTTTGACAGTATATGGGGCAACGGCCGCAAGGTATGTGCTCATACTAACGCTTCTGAGCCTGTACCCAGTTAAACTGTCATGAAAAAGTGAAAAGACGCAATCAGCGATGGAGAAAAGCGTGTATGACGTGAACAGTGCTGGCTAATGACGTTGTTAAAAATTCAGGATGCCAACCATATATGACCCACAACCAGTCGTCATTTTTTCTTAAAGTTTAAGAAGTAACTTGAACAGGGGCATACTAAATTATGATCAATCTACGTGTTATATGTAAATAAAAACGTGGAATAATAAGACTTAATACAGTATACATATTATTTTCTCCTTGTGTAGTAACAGTTGCCTAGGTAATTTAGCTGTGTAATAGAGCGAAAAATTACTATGATGTATGTTAAATATATGTTAGCATGCATGTAAATGGTCTTAGATAATAATAATTATATAACACTTACGTAAAATAGAAGACAATCGATTGGTCTGTTTGTGATAGACAAAAGTGTAGCTGCTATCTACGCCATGCTATCTGAAATAAATTGAGGGTCTTTATCATTTAGCAATTAAATTAGAGGTAGGTGTGAACTAGGCCATCAACTTACAATAGCATACACATCAATAATTGATAACAACTATTTGATAACCGGCAACAACTAGTTACTTCGGCATTTTAAGAACATACGTTCTTAAAATGCCGAAGATGCTTCTACATATAGATTCCAAAGTATGCCGTTTAGCCTTTAACTTAATAGCTTTAAAAACTCTAACAATTTTATTTTCACTTGTAAGATACATACTGCATGTTTCTATCAATTTAATTCTTCTATAGCATTTGTATGTACGTAATAACTAATATCTTTACTCCATTGAATTCCAAAGCACATTTTTATAACTATTTGATTTCAAGAAAATTTAAACATTGTGTCTTATTACCTAAACAGAAAGGTATATTTTTTAATGGCATAGACAACACAATAAAGAATTTCCATATAAATCTCATTAGAATTCAGGACCAGTCATAGAGTAGAATATTATAGTCATTCAATACTATACTGCCTCTGAATTTGAGGACACAGCTTTAACTAAAAAGTATTTGAATTTGATAAAACAATAATTCTTTCTAGGTTAGTAGATTTGTTTATTAACAGCTATGACATTGTAGGATGTATTTATTGCTGTGCAAATTTGGAATATACTAGGTATTTAAATGATAAATATACTGCTTATGTTTGTTTGTACCAAAGTAATTCTTTTATTTATAATATTTTATAGTGTACATTTCGATAAGTGCAAATTACTGTTTTCTTGGGGAAGATACATATATCTGCAGCAATTTTAATAGTAAATGTTATATACAGAAAAACCAACAAACCTACATATTAGAGTTTATCAATGATAAATCTGTTTGGAAAATAAATTGAAACTTATGTTTCCCTGGGATTTTAATCTAAAATATTTACACAATGCTAGTTTATGCATAAAACATATTATAAACAATAAGATCTTACAAAGATCTATCTACTTTTGATTCAGCTGATATAATTAATATGCACCTGAAAACAGTTCATATTTTTTATTGGTTTACCAGGTCACTTTTTTGCTTATCCATAAACTTATTTATCTATATTTTTATTAATAAACATTTACTTTGAATATATTCTCTGATTATTTTATCCTGTTTGGCTTATTGTACACAGTATCCAGAAATTTGCTAAGGATAATCCTTTATATCAAGTGCAGACAAATGTGTATCTAGTAACAAGACATCACCATAGTTTCAATTACTAACTTCATAGCTATCCACATACCACCGTTATAGCTATATCTGAAAATCAGAACGAGTAAAAGAGATTACTAACCTGTTAATAAGCTATAACCACTTCATAAACTTTCACCACTAAACTTAACTTTGCACATTTTAACAAAAAACAGACACTTGAAAACTTGTCCAACTTTTCAAACTTTCGCGAACGACCTATTGAGTATAAACTAAGAGTTTAGGAAACCGTATAGAACATTTCTTTCTTTAAAAAATACGGTAATAAACTTGATAACCGAACTGAAACACAAATAATATTTTAATCATAATCTATCAACGTCGTCTTTCATCGCAACACTGTCATTACTCATTATTTTTACTGATTCGTAATAGAAGCATTCGGATTTCGGAAGTTCGCAACCGCCTAGTTTGTTCCACAGATCTTTGTAGTTTGTGGCTTGGTGTGCGGTTTATAATGTTGCTAGGTTCAAACTTTTTACATTAGCTTGTGAAGATCAAATTAATAATTTTCAAAAATCTTTCAACTATTTAATAAAAAGTAAATAAAATCCTTTATTTTCAAAAGTAATTGAATGCCACTTTGAATACACCATTTTATTAAAATTTTCCATCTTTACCATACCTAAGTTGCAATGGTCACAAGTTATTTATTATTATTGACAACAAAAAAGGCAAATATAAATATTAAAATAAATTAAAAATAGTTATTACAAATAATTAGAGCATTTCAAAGGCAGAAATTCTTTTAGTATTTTGAAATATCTGCAAGAGGCAATTTGGGTCTTAACTTGAGAGACGTTGAGTTAGGTCAATCCTTAAAACAGTATGGCAATCTTAAAAATCTGTGGGTTATTATAATCTACATTTGTGGTTACGGCACTATATAATACTTATATATTATAATAACTTTATAAATCTTATTAACAAAATATTATTAATGTTGCTTACATGATTTTTTGATGTAAGCAACAATAATGAATTCATTGCATTCAGTACCAGTTTTTTTAGTCTTATTTTGTTGTTTGTATAAGGCAACATTAGTTGCCTAAAATATTATAAATCAGTGCACCCTTATTATTATATGAAGTATACATAGTTCACTAATTGATTTTTATTTATTTGCATAAACTTACCTACCGTAACGTCTCACCAAAAAAAATATTTCCTCAGAATTATAGCCCAGGACAGAATCTTTCAGACAAATAAAAAAAAAATTAGAAAGAAAATATTTATTATAGAAAATAATACTTGGGTAGAACCAATGAATCTACAAAACTTTTTTTTAATTTCTTAAATTACAAATCAGGAGATTACAAAATACCTAATATTATCAATAAGAATAATCTACAAAAAATGATCTTACAAATTAAATCTTAGACTTGTACGTTCTAGGGAGAGCTATTTAATTTCATTCATGTAAAAATGTTAAATTTGTAATAAATGCTATCGTGAAAATACTTAGAAGGGATTTTGTTAAATTATCTTTAATAATAAAATATTATGCAGTTTTACATGAATAAAATTGTGTTGAATTCTCAACTGAGATTTTTGTACTGTCAAGATAACCCCTTAGATTTATTGCAATGACTTCCTGGCGCTATCTGCAGTGTAAATATTCATAAATCATTAATCAGGCAAGTGAGTTATCCATGACAAACAAATTACACTAAAGTGAGTGACATTTTGTCTTGAATGCTTTACTGGTCTGAGCCTTCATCTTCTTCTTCATCTTCCTGTTCCTCTTCAGATGAGGCAGTATCTTTCTTGGGCGGAGCTGCATCTTTACGTGGTCTGCCTCTACCACTTCCTTCTCCAGATGCAGCCTTAAATAAATTGTAAATGCTATTAATATAATCTTAAATCTTAAAGTGTTTGTATAAGGAATTGTAAAACTACCTTTTTGGGTGCTGCTTTTTTCTTAGAACCTTTAGGCCTACCACGACCTCTTTTGACTACAGGCGCCTGTTCTTCATCAGAAGAGTTCTTAGTTTCTTTTACTTTTGCTGGTGCTGCAGGTCGCCCTCTTTTTTTTGTATCACCTTTCGCTTCCTATGGATAAAAAAATATTACTCAAGGGTATTACACTATACACAAACAAGCTAATACAATATTGCTAACTGAATTAGTAATTAATATACTAAGTATTCCTCGAATGATTCACACTAGTATTTAAGTAAAAACTAGATTATTTTAAAGGGTTTAAACAAAGAATACTTAACATTTTGTTAAAGTGGCAACAATGTTAAAGAATTTTTCTTACATTCCCAAATCTCATAGGGACAGGACAGTCTATTGGACTGAATACTTACTGCTTGTGTTCCATTTGCCTTTGGCCGACCTCTTCCCTTCTTCTCAACTGCAGTTGAACCATCATCAGACATTTTCAGCTATTTATTGTAAACTTACTGAAAAAAAAAAACAAAAATATGTTAAGCATGTAACGGAATAATTTCCTAAAACCGGTGTTTTAAAACGCCGATAGCGTCACTTATGCCGGCCCTTTATGACCATAGATCTATTATCTCATAGAATTATTGAAATTAAAAATAAAATAATAATAATTAAATAATCAATTACCTTGATGCTATAAATTTGAGCGTTGTTAATAAGTGACGTATTTAAAGTAGCATCACACCAAGTCTAACAAAATGAAACAATACAAGAACTCGGAGCGTCGCGACGCTAAGCTTTGATGACCGATTAAATGGGAGTGTGACTGATGCTAACGATATATTTAAAAATGTTTTGTTATTGACCTAACAAATAAAAAGAGTAACGAACCTTAAGGACGAACGAAAAAATTGCAAGAGAATAATCCAATGATTTAAAGAAAGAATAGCAAGTAGTACGCGTTGTCAATTTTAAATGGAGTCTAACATTTAACATAAAACAGCATTTCACATTACATGCATTTAAATAATTGTATAAACTAATAAGCAAACAAATAGTAATTAGATCTAAGAAATATAATTGCTGTATTAAACGCTAAAAATAAAATTTTTACTCACCAATTTATTGTTTACAGGAAACAGTATTGAATTCACTCACTGAAAAGATTATGGCGGGTTGTGGTGAGTTACCCGGCGTCGGTATAGAGGTCGCCACAGGCAGCTTTTCCAGCTTTCAGTGTTGACCGTTTCTATCTAAATTATAATTTAATAATGAAAATGTAGACACACATTTAGTTAAAAATACGTTTGTAAAGAAATAATTAGGTTTAATCCCTAATTTAGGAAGCAATTTAAACATTTATATGATGGTAGATTTTATAAACTAACGTTATAAACTTTATAAATTTTCTTCCTTGATTACTGTAAAAATAATAGGATATAACTTTCTCGGTTCATTTATAATCAATAACAATTACATAAATCTCTGCTTTTCAGTAAAATGTTTACGGTCATAAATATTGTCATTAATATATAATATATTTTTTATTAATGCTATAGTTGAAGCTTTAAGATCGTAGTAAATATGTTTTTTATTTGAAATATTGAAGGCGCAATCAGTATTAAGAATATTCACTGATAAGGTAGATCATTCTCATAAATTAGTCATAATCACTTAGAAGTAAATACTTGCATATTATATATCTAACAAATGTATACGTAATCTGTGGTTTATTCAACTTTTAACGAAGGCCTGTTAATTCCGTAATCTATTTTTTAAACTACATATTTCTATTTTCATTGAACTGTCATTTCCCTATGACACTGTAATGAGTAAACAAAAATATCGATTGTAAAAAAAACAGAAATATTATTTACAAATTGTGAATTTACACGAAGGCCGTAAGAGTATCTACTGAACAACACACAGCTTTGTTGTGTTTTTATATTTCTGTATCTTATTTTATTAGTACTGGATATGTAATGATCTTTTCAATTATCAATAGAAAAACACAAATATGAAAGCTCCTGTTGAGCCTAACCAGGAAGACTGTTGTAATAATGGGTGTAGCCCTTGTATATTTGATGTCTATGAAGAACAGTTAAAACTTTATGAAAGATATAAAAACGGAAAAGGGGTTTCTGTTACACAATTAAACAACTGTATACAACAGCATAAATACACATCATTCCATGTAACAGAAGTGACAGACATATGTTATTTACATAAAATGATCAAGTTTAGAAATAAGAGAAATAGTGGGCAGGTATACTGGAAACCAGGCCAACACTTTTTTTGTACTGTTTAAAACCGGAGTCAAAAAAAATGTTCACGTGCATATACTCCAATAAAAGTTGTTAATGCTGAGCTAGAAGATTTTGACTTTGCTATAATTGTAAAGCAATACTGCAATGGTTTAATTTCAAATTATTTATTCAATTTAAAAAAAGGTGATTCTGTTTTATGGCGAGGACCATATGGTAAATATGAGATTATTCCAAATAAGTTCAACAATATTATTATGATAGCCCAAGGTACTGGAATTTTACCTTTTATATCAATTGTGCAAACAATTATTAATAATGAGAATGATATGACAAAAATTACATTGTATTATTGTTGTCAATCATCAGAGACAATTATTTTGAGGGATGTTTTCTATAGTTTAAAGTCATTTTGGAATTTCTCTTACAAAATATATGTAAGAACTACTAATGTAGAATTTGAAACGAAATACCAAGAAGCAATCATACAGAGAAAACTTAATTTTGAAGATATAGTTTTATCTAAAGAAAGTCAATATTTACTGTGTGGGACTGATAATTTTATAGACCATTATAAATCCTTACTTTTATTGCATGAAATTTCATCTGAAAAAATTGTTACATTTTAGTTGTGAAGTTTAAAAGTGTATCTTATCCTAAATTTATTTATGTTGTTATTTATTCATGTTTCTCCTACACCAAATTAAAAATGTTGAGTTTAAAGGTAATTGTTTTTTTTATTTAAATTTGGTCATGTTCAAGCTTCCATGCAAACATGGCAAAAGCATACGTGGTAGGTATACAAACAACAAGAAATAAACAGATATTTAGACATCTGTTTATTTCTTGTTGTTTGCGTTTAAAATTATATAGATGATAATATTAATTATGATTAATGTACTGACGTATAATAATTGTATAGGTCGCGACACGGATGTTTAGCTGAAATGTAGAGAGTTGCGCATCTGTACAGTCGCTCACGTAATTGATTGGAAAACGAGCCTACTCGAGATGCAAGCGGAGCGTCGTATTGGTCCGGTTGGCACATGACGTTCACTGCGGCCGCGCTCGCTTCCGTCCCTTCGATACCTTATTTTTGAATTCTGCGTCGGATTCGTTGCGCTAATGAAAGATCCGTGTCGCTCCTTATACACGCTATAATCTTTCGTAGTCTCTACTATATCTGTGATATCTACCTATTTAAGCTGTGGTGCTAGTCATTTCTACATGCTCCTTCCCACTCGTCTGTGGCATCTGCCATAGACTGCATACCCAAATTGACGTAACGTGTACTAAAATCCTTTGGTAGCTATTCATTGTACCTCAGTGCAAACTACAATTCTTAAAAAAACAGTTATGGATTTTTTCGCGCCGGCGCGAGTAGTGAGTCGCGATAAATTTGTGTAAAGTTGCTATTTTGCACATGCAACGAGATAATTTATGAACTTCAGGTTAAAATTACATGCCGATTAATTTAATAAATGTCTGACACCGTAATATATAAATATCACCTCCTGATAAAAGAAAAACAGAATATATAATTAACGCTAAAACAGTGCAAGATTGAACATAATACGTTTATCTATTGAATTTGTATTCTCGTTAGTAAAAAAAAACAATAAAAATGGGTTCAATCGTATTAAAAAGTCTCTCTATACTTTTGGGTATTTTCTTCATATTTATGGGTGTAACAAAGATAACTCCATTTATTTCAAAGGAGTTACATAAGGAATTGGTAAGTAACATAATTTATTTTGAATTAAGATAAAAAATGTAAAGGTCGCATCATTACATTTTTGTTGCGATGAGATGTTCTTCGCTATTTTGGTATTTGGCCTGTCGCCTAATAACACGCTGAAACTGTTTAGTGACAGTAGAATCTCTGAACTTGAGCGTAAATATATGTTTATTTTATTATATTTTGCCTAAATGTAATAAATTGAGGCTATCAACTGACTTACCTAATTTTATAACATAATCCTCTAATTTACTCGCCATAACCTTTACTTAAATATATAAATGAGGAAGGATTAGTTTTCACTCTCTTCCAATGTAGAACGCGTTGCATATTTTGGTGCGAGGTCCCCAAGGCTCCCAGTAAAACATGATAATTGGTTTGTCAGGGAAAATGCAAAAGCGAGAAAAACTCTTACATTTACTTAAAGAGAAGACAGGGAACTCACAGGGATACGGATAAGTGGTTTAAAAGTTTGCCGGACAGGACTTGAACCGGCATCGCCAGCGTTCCGTGCTGTTGCTCTTGCTCTTTTTTCTATTTCAAATTATTTTCGATTTTTATATTATATAGTGCCTTCATGTGCAATAACAACATGTGAAACATATTAACGTTTTCAAACACTTGTAGAATGTATCCTTATTTTATTTTCAGCTAATTTAATGTGTATATATGAGCAAGTCCTGTTTTTTTTCTATTTCAGCGGAAAGAATATGTCAGATACGCGAAAGTGTTTCCGTTGAGTGAAATGCTCGATTTTAAAGTGCCATCGAAATGGTACAGACGAACGATTGGTGGCTGCGAGATTCTCTTTGGGTTATCTCTGGCTCTTATACCTTACCGTAAGTTTTTATTAATTACTGAAGCATGATGTATCCGCTGCGAATTTCGGCTTCCCTGTATCATCTATTATATGATGTAAACAAACGAATCTAAAACTTGACTTTATTTAGTTAGAAACAATATATTCACATATATAAAAATATGAATACGTTTAAAATTAAATACATACACAATACTTAATTACTTAATAATAGGTACTTTAGTAATTGTCACGATCTTTACGGTTGAGATACCCATTAGGGTTGTAAAAAATAATTTTGAGATTTAAAATAGGATGTCGTAAAAATTTAAAATAATGCTACATTTTCCGTTATTCTTGTTTCAGAGAGGATTAAAAATGCAGCAAATATTGGCCTTATCTTATTGATGATATTGGCGACATACTCTCACATAGCAATCAGCGATCCCTTTGACCGCTGTGCACCGACCATCGTCTTTTTCTTCATGCTGTGTGGTCGACTTGTCGTCTGGTATGTGTATATCCGAATATTTATTTTACACAACAATATTTACAAATAGGGTTAATATTATTTTTAAATAAAGCACTTCTAACGTTTAATAACACAAAATATTGAACTTTTTTTAATTTATTTTAACTACATCCTGATTTATTTCGCATTATTAAGCGTTAAGTCTTTTATTTAAATGTGAACTACTCCGGTAGCTCTAAATCCTATTAGGTATTAGCGATTAAGTGAGTTTAGGAGGGAATTTTGATAAGGAGGTTCTAATCTTCTGCAATATTGTTCTTTTTTTAAGGTTTTGATATTATATAAATTTTCTGACGTATTACAAATATTTCTGATAAGCTTAAAGGAGTAGCTTCCACCGCCGTGGCAATATGGTTAAACGCGATGAAACGCATTAAGTGCTATAAATGACTGAAACCCGCAGACAGAAATCTGATCACCAATTGTACATTAAAATCGATTGAAATAGGGACAGAAAATGTGTTTGCCACACACTTCATAACAGAACAGGGATTGAATTCATACTACCAGTCAACAGTATAAATGACGTAATCGAATCGTCCGTACCTCTTACACCGAATAGAGATCCACGTTGTTCAAGAAGTAAATCTATATCAATATGTAAACAGCTATCATTTGCCGTTAGCTCATAAAATAAATATTATTATAACTAGCAGTTATTTCATGCGCAAAATGTAACCTCCAAACGTGCGATATAAAATAGCTGCGATCATCCGTGGGCGCACGTTGTTAGTCAGACGTCATCTGTATATCCAGACTAGTTGCAGCACGCTGTGGTTTCCTCTATATGGCTTTGCAATGAAAAGCGAGAAATTTAAAATTATTTCCTTTTAGTAATATATTATGTTGTTGTTGCACGATTTTTCAAAACTTTAAGTCTTCTGATCAACAAACGGTCTTAGTGGCAATGCGTTACCTCCCTATTTCTTGCTTCTTATTAGCCAGGCAGAGTAGTCTCTAGTAAGTAAGTAGTAAAGAGTATATATAGATATTCTCTTAACTTATAAGAGTTTAATAAACAAATAGCATGAATATCCAACCTTACTTTAAGACTCGCTGAGAACGTTGAGTCAGAATCAAAATCAAGACTGTGACTACCTCAATAAGAACCATTTTCAACCATTAACAACATACCCTTTTCGTTTATAATGTAATAGATTAATGAGAACAAAGTGGCTTTAAAAACCATATTAATACCGAGTTCAAAGAAACCCGAAACATCTTCAAATGAAAACACATTATGTTAATGGGTATTAAAGTTTTATATCTGTAAATGCGATGTGCAAGATTTATGATATTGTGTTAGCAAACTTCATGTACTTAATCAACATATATCTGAAGCTTGTATTTGTTCCAACCTATTAATGTCGCACAGATGGGCACAGGTCTCTTGCATAGCAGTATGCTTTGCTACTTAAGACCCACCACGCCACTAAATGGTCTCCTACTTCCAAATTTAGGCCGGGAGACACACAAACATGAAACCGAAATGTGATATATTAAATAAAGTTATACATTGATCTTAAAAACGAAATGTATACGACATGGCACTTGTAAAAGTACGATACTGCACCTTGACCAATTTCTAAGCGATATAAACATGGGTTAGTGAATAAAATTAGTTCCATCACACCGACGGCGTCGCCTGGCCACCGGCCAGGGAATCCGCATTGACGGATCGCCTGTCGTAAGAATAATCAGTTGGAATCGCGATAAATGCACGATCAATTTAGATTTTTGATTTGTTTGTGTGTCTGATTTCATAACTGGCAGACACTCCTTCTAAATGAAACAAGTACAACATGAATATATTTGTATCAACTCTAGCTTTAATATTATTGAGAATTACGTGACATTTTTCTTCCTATCAAACAAAAGGGTCATGTTTGCTTGGGTTTCGAACCGTAAGTCTTAAATGCCTTACGTAACACTCCTAGTAACTACAAGACGGTGTATATCGAATATTGTCTATGGCCTTGCTTGAATATGTTATATCATACATATTCCAGGTATTTTATATACTTGCTTAAGATAACATATTTAAATTTAAAGCAAATCCCAAACGTTGGCTTATAGTCAAATAAATAACGAAATATTTCGCGTTTTAAACCGTTTAAGTTTTTATTTTAGGTCATATTTAATTGTACAGCTTTCTTATTTCAATTTTTTTTTTGCTAAAAAAATATACCTACTTTGTTAAGCATTTTATTAAAGAACAATAAACACACTACAGACGCACAGACAAATCGGTTTTGATATTTATAAATACACAAAGCTTTCATTTATTTTAAATTCACTGAAAGTGCCAGAACCAATAATTACAACTATTGACCAGTTAATGGCTAAAATTCTAGTTCAAGGATAAAACAGTTTTATCGAAAGTGTTTTTAATTGTTTAATGAAGATTCTCCTTCGTTATCATAAACAGAAGCTGCATCGATCAATAAAAACTATTGCCCCATTACATTATTAATGTATTATATAATTATAATTACATAGTTTTATTAATAAAAATTGTGCCAATTTAACGGTATCAATCAGTTGTAATAAATAAATGTTCGAATTTTTTTTAAAGAAAAAATTGATTCAAGACAGGTAGGTCAGGCGACTGAGAGTAAATATTAGATAAAACACTTTTACCGGATAAAAGCAAATGTATTTGTGATATTGACCTAGCATTGCGTTAGGGCGAGAGGTTCGGGTTCGAATCCCAGGGAAACAAAACAGTTTCAGACGGGCAGGGCACAAAGACTGATCAACTACCTAAAGAACGGACACAAAAATGTGTTCGCCCCATGCACCACGAGGGGGAAACGGGAATTCATACAATTCGTGATATTATTTATAAGAATACCCGAATCCATCAACCTATTCATTAATTTTTTTTTATGTTCTCATGATTCTAATTTTCAGGTACCAAACCCATCGCCGGGAAATGCTGGAGAAATTAGTCGCAGCGCAGAACGGAAACGGCCTCAAGAGGGATTGATATTACTATCATGTGGTAGAATATATATAACTTTATTTTTTCCCTTTATATGTTCACACATTTGTAAATTGGTCGCGTTTGGCCGGATTGATTTCAATTTTTTTTCAAATTTTAAAGATCAGGTGTATGTGTGTGAGTGTACGTGTATAATGTGTGTGTGTGACGCTTTTTACAGCATTGTTTAGAGTTTAGATAGTTAAATGAAAATAATGCTGTAATTGTAAACGTTTATACTCTTATTACAAAACAAGGACTATCTCTCAAACCTGGTTTAAACCCGGGTTTATTTGAAATCCGTATTACAAAACGAAGTTTAACGTTTGTACTGGACTAACTATGGTACCTACTAACTTAGATTTATTCAGACCATGGTTTAGGAGTTAAACCAAGACTCCGCAGGTTTAAGTATTTTTATGTAATAAGGCCGTTAAAGTCAAAATAAAATCCCTTTATTCCCGTTCGTGACGTTGTTTTCATATTACTGCCTCCGTTTTATCGGATTTCAGTCTGACCGAAACGATATTCCGAAGATTCCGGAGAGATTTGAAACCAGGATATCTGGCTGAACGTATTTTTTAACTGTAGCGAAAGGCAAACATTTTTAGTGGGGTTTGTTAAAAACTTATGTTAACTTAATAATATAGATATTTAATTATACCAAAGTTTACGCACTTTTTAGAGACAGGTTTTATACGCACTGTGATTTATTTAGTCATGATTATTTCAGCCAATTGCAACTTTATTGACATAAGTAGAAATGATACCTTTAGTCAAGGGATGTTTTAAGCTTTGACCTAGGTCGAGTGATCCCAAAATTAGGCTAACAGTCAACAATAATATAAAGCAATGTAGAATTGTATGGTAGTGTTTATGTGTAATATTAAAAAAATATACAATAATCCGTAATTATCAGAACAAATGTTGAATAATGGTTTTAAATATAAAACAGCAATATATAGCGAAGATACCACAAAATAATTTGATTGAACTGTCTAAACATGTATTTGTACTGTGTAAACTAAGATTTCCATTTTATATCGGACAGGTAAAATTTTGTAATTATATAAGAAAAGGTTGATCGTTTAGTGTAGGTGATTGTGAGATTCGTTGCTTGTATTTATTATAGCATTGTGTAAACGTGATATTAATCTAAGTGTAGTGCGTTGTGTATTTATGTATGAAAGTACATTGGTATACTATTGGCGTAGCTTAGGGATTCAGAATACAGGCTACCAATTCTACAAAATACAAAAGAACTGTACAAATACGTGTAAAAATCCCAGGTTGGTCTCTGGCGCTGTAACGCGTTACGTTCCAAAACCTTCACTTAAGTAGGTAATTATCACTTGCATACGTTAGCATTTTGAAGTGTTTATTTAAGTAAGTTTTTTCTATCGTTTCATGAAAAAGTGCAGCCAAAGAGATGGTGCCGTGCGTTCGTAACGCGTTACTTCAATAATAAGACAATTAGTGTCGTAACGCTTTACGTCACTAATTGGCTTGCCCTACCTTTGAAAATTATTTTATAAAGGCTGATTCGAAACACTGTAATAGTTAAAAGTACCGTTTTATAAATATTCTATATGAATTCAATATATGTATATCTCTTTTCTGCGATCAATTTGCAATACGTAACAACAGAAGGGAAAATCAGCTTGAATCACTACTCTAATTTCTATTCTCTCTCTTTTCCCATAAAAACCTCTTAGCTACACTAATGTATCGACTATAATTGTGAGTTTTAGAGAATAACGTATATAATGCACTTGGATGTTAGGTTTGTATGATCCTCGAATACCGTTTATCTTGTGAAGCTGATTTGCTCAATATAAAGATAGCGTCCATTGTTGTTTTGGTGTTTGTAACACTCTCTAAATGTATACACGTTTGTGATTTGAGAAATTGTTTGCACAAACCCGTCAGTTTCCACTAGTTGTTTTGGGCTGTTATTTATTTCACAAATTTAGAATATTGCTGTAGATTTTACTATTGCCCACCTTTTTAATGAGTTAATAAATTTTTATCAAGCACAACACCGCCATATTAAATTTGTGGACAAGGATTGGACAAAAACATACACAATAATTACAAGACGATTTTATACCATATAACAATTAATTAGACTAGAGAGTTGTAATGTAAACTACATTTCTTGACGAAACTCCTAGCTGATATTGCACTGATATTTACTTTTTTGCACTTTTATGATTTTATTTTATTTAATAGAAATACCTCAGTAAATAAACGTTTCTAAATAAATATTGTTTTATTATTTTCATTGATATGGTATCAGTTGAAATGCATGCCGGACAATTTTGTGTGTCCTGAGCAAAATTATTAAATGTTTTCCTAGGATTCTCTTGTCTTCCAAATTGCTAAGCACTGAGACTGAGGAGGAGAGGAAATTCGTGGTTGATCTATTATATTGAAGACGAACACATTCATGGTTTACCTTTAATAATTTATTTGCAATATAAAAGAAAATAGTTTGATTAAAATATTACATTATAAACACGTTTTAAATATTTAAATCTAGCGTTTATCACAAACTTCTAATATCAACCTTACCAAAAGCTATGCACTATTTTTGCTTATACATGAGTGAATAACTTGATGAATTCTTTTTCATATGTTTAAATATTAATCTTGCCTTTAGACATTTTATATGTCACAGTAAGTTACGCATATATAAGTGTTATCTTTTATATTTTTATTGTACTGAGAAAACTAGCCTACATTCCATCTATGTACATACGTAGCGCTGTATAAAAATATATTAGTCTAAATCATAAAGAAACATGCGCAATAAACTTTTGAATAAAACTATAACCATGTATATATTAGTAATAATAAAGTTAAGCTGGATCACGACCGGTTTGCAGCAGTTCGAGAGCATTCCTCAAATTGCTAATAGCAGTTTTAGCATCTTCGTAGTTCAACGCACTACTTGCCCATTTGCAGTATTTCTGGGCTTTAGCTATTTGTTCCGGACTAAGCTGAGCAACTGATGTTGAATTGTCACCGTAGTAAGTACTAGAGGGTGTCGGTTGTGGCTGCTGCGATGGGTCATAGGGCACAAAACCACCAGGATTCGGGTCAGGTGTATACGGAACAGGTGGGAGTTGAGATGCCGCTCGCATTGCTGCATTGGGATCAGGCAAAGAGTTGCTGTAGGTTGTGGGGATGGTAGGCTGTGATGGTGCACCGTCTGTAAATCCAAAATCTTGTGGGAAGCTTGTTGGTGCAACAGCTGGTCCAGCTGCTGGTGTCAGACCACCGTCACTAGATGATCCGGCTTCATTTTGCTCACCATCTGTTACTTGTGGTGCTGTCAAAAATTTGGGAATTACTAACTACTTTATAAGTATCCTACTTATACATTTGTAGGATATGGATGTTGAATATACAAGTATGTATGTTTTTTTTTCATGAATGAGGAGCACACACAAGGTTCACTTGATGAGAATTGGTGTATCCCAGCCATATAATATATATACACAATATGCCCTAACGGTCTACTTGTCTTTAGATATTGGGAACTCCACAGACTGAAATGGAAACGCAATTAAACTTCACGGCTTTGTCATCTGTGGATGGTAGTTCATGACTCGGACGGAATTTTCGGCATTCTTACCCTACTTACTATCCATTTAATATTTAGATAAATTTACAAATGTGTACCTGGTGGGGATCGAACCCACGACTTGTGAGCCTGTCAAAACCAAAACATGTAAAGTAAAAAGAACTATGTGTGCTATAACCAATATTTTTTAAATTTATGATTAAATTAACTAAGACATTACACTATTATTAACTACCTGGCTCTGGCATTTCTCCATTCTTTAAACAACTATGAATATGTGCTGCTCGCCATTTTGCATACTTTCTGTTCTGAGCAGCCTCATCAGTGAGTTCGCCGAATGTTGAAAGAACATCATATATCATTCCAGCCAAAAAGAAAGATTTCACTACATTCCTAAAACAGAACATTTTCAATTTTAATATTGCAAACACAATATTATTTTTACAGGCCCATTGACTAGATTGATATGATATTTATGACATTGATAATTTTTACTTCAATAAAAAATATACAGTTTTAATAGTTATTATTTTCAACCACGCCACTTTATCATAGCATTGAGTAAGAACCTACTTCCCATAATTTTGCTCTCTATCTTGCTTGTCAGCAAACAAAAACAGCTTAAGAGCATAATTCTCCAGGTGTGCTTGAGCCACAACTTCATTTGATACAGCATCATTATCCTTGTTTACTTTTTTTGCTTCTTCAAGCCAGTCCATAATAGCTGCAATTAAATTATGTGAATTGGTTGATGTTTATAGCTACTGCACACAGTTCGCAAATTAATATATTGAAAGACAAAAAAATGCAGCATTTGAACTGTATAAGAAGGTCATAAAACAATTTCAGACATCTTAGTCATATGTATACAATAAAATGGTTTTGTAATGACCATCGACTTACCCATCAATACCTTAGTTTCCTCAGGAGTTTTCTTAGTTGTTAGCTTAAGTCCAACTTGTAATGCATGTAAACGGCACCAATAGGCAATAACTGGATCACGAGAATCATGTTCTGACGCCGTTTTAAGGTAACACTGAATATTTTTAAGGCTTGGTGGACATTCCGGGATGTTTAGAGACATTTTCTAACAAAAGGAAAAAAATAATCAAATTAGTTTGAACGCTATAAACTTACAAACAGTACAACACAGTAACTTATTTAGAGACAATATATATAGCTTTAAAGTTTTTCTAATCACGAAGCGAATTTAAACAAACAAAATATAATTGTTTTTTTATAATTTATAATATTTAAATTATACTGCTTCTTGTATGGGAGTTTAGTTTTATAGTATTAGTCATTGTATATCAATACAAATAACGAATTAATGACGTCAAGTGTTATAATTACCGCAGAGTATAAGGAGTAGTTATTAACAATTTCGATTATTTCCTATGATTTAATTTTTTATTACAAAATAAGAAACCTTTAAAATAATTGTTTGTGACTAATACGTCAAGGTTGACATTTTTGATTTCACAGGCTATATTTTCTTCTGAATAACAGACATATTCAGTTGTCAGAAATCCAAAAATTTTTCATTAGGGTCATCTGTCGACAAATGTTTTTATCGCCATCATTAATAAAATCAAGATTTATTGTTTAATTATATTAGAATTACGTTATAAAGTTTGGAAAAATATAATTTTACAGTAAACTTGTGAGAGTTACAATGCCTTCTAAACAAAGAAAAATTGCTATGATGGGGTACAGATCCGTAGGTAATAAAATCTGAAGAAAATTACCAAAATTCTTCTTTGTGACGTTTTATTTTAATTGATCGTATTCATCTTATTTCCTATTTTAGGGAAGTCTTCTTTGATTATACAATTCGTTGAAGGACAATTTGTCGATTCATACGATCCTACAATAGAAAACAGTAAGTGATACCGAATAAATGAATTTATTTTTTCCTCTGAGATTCCTTTCGTATATTTACCAAATTTCAAATCTTTTTAGCCTTCACAAAATTCATTCGCCTGAACTCTACTGAGTATGAAGTAAAATTAGTAGATACTGCTGGTCAAGATGAATATAGTATATTTCCTCTTCAATACAGTATGGATTTCCATGGCTATGTTTTAGTGTACTCTATAACATCAAGTAAAAGTTTTCAAATTGTACAAATAATATATGACAAATTATTAGACATGGTTGGTAAAATACAGTAAGTTTCTGTACAGTATTATATTGTTTATTTAAAAAAAACATATTCTCTAACTAGTTAATGTAAAAAGGTGTATAACTTTTATTTACTATATATTCTACTGAGCAATTATCAATTTACTATTTTATCTATTTAATGTATGAATATTCTATTAAAAAGAGGGGTTTTAAATAATAATTGTAACACACTTATATTTCAGTGTACCAATCGTCTTAGTAGGAAATAAGACAGATCTACATTTAGAAAGAAAAATCAGTACAGAAGAAGGGAAACGGTTAGCTGAAAAGTGGAATGCAGCTTTTGTTGAAACTAGTGCTAAGAGAAATGAGGTAAATTACTTACTCATATACTTTTATTTAGGTCACAACTGTAATTGATAGAACTTTTGACTTTATAAATATATAATGTTGTTGCAAGTAAAACTAAACATAAACCTAAATTTGTTTATCTTAAAAAGAAATAACTAGCGTACTTAGACACAGAAAGAGTCTTAGACACTTAAAAAGGGACTTTGACTTTTCTAGCCATAAACTTATCCAGCTTTAACTATGTAATCCTGAAAATTGATACTATATTTCTTCTTTCCAGTCTGTGACAGATATGTTCCACGCTATGTTATCAGAGATAGAGAGATCAGACGGCCATATACCAGAAAAAAGTGGGTGTAGTATTTGTTAATAAGATGGATATTGTAAGTGTTGTTTGCAGCTGGATCAAAATATTAAATCTCTGTGCATGTTGTGTATGATAATGTTTAAATTCTGTTTAGCTAATTAGTGATAATGTGTTCACTTGTCTGTAATTGATAATACCTTATACCAGTACACTTAACGGCTCTAAACTTCTTGACATTGAAATATCATATATCCAAATAAACATAAGGGGTTTAAGATAGTTCAGCACATAATTTGCTGTTTAATATTTTACATAAAGATAAAATTGCATGTGTTTTTTTAAACTATGAAAAATATCTTTGTCAGTAATTATCATTCTTTAGGATAATTTTAGGCTAAGTGACTTTGAACAAAAGACCTGCAGTGACCTTTAATAATATTACTAAAATAATTTTCACTTCAGACAAGTCAATCAATCTTGTAAATATTTAAAACTAATATATATATACATTATTATAATTACCAAATCTTGGCTGATCAATATACAAAGGTCAACAAATTGTTAATAACAAACCAGTGGCTACTACTTACAGTACTGATAACATTATAGTTACAAGTATTTGTTAATTTATTTAGGTTTTTAAAATAAAATTTATTATAATGTAAATATCTTATATTTCTTATAATATGTTCAAAGTGAGTGGCATTTATACATGTAAAGGAGAGTTTTTTTATATTGATTATAAGTTATAACGCTTATTACATTTTATAAGATTTTTTAGTGAGAAATAATATTAAGCTGGTTATTTTTCATTATGGTATGAATGTTTTAATACAATTATATGTCTCACATGTATTGGCCTGAGAAAACTTGGTTACGGGATTGATTTTATTACTATTGAAGTTCTCTAACTTTGATAACTCATTTAAAGATAGTGAGTTTTACATCACATGACATTAGAGTTGGGAAAATTACATTCAAATTAAAAATTTGCTATTAACAAAGCTATATTTAGGAGCACGACTTGAAACAGGAGCTTTTAGATTGGTTAAGCAACTTTCTTCCTAATCATCAGAATAACAACAGTTCACAGCAGTTTTGTGTTAAACCATAATAGTGTCAGGTTTCAGTGAAAAACTTTAATGCACAATTAGAAATAGAACATGATTTAATTATAGGATCTATGTGAAAATATGCAGCAAACAATAAATAAAGCATTCTTAGGTAGGTGTAGGTAGTGGTAGTAATATTCCAAATTGTATGATTTTACATACTGTGTTATTGTTTCTTATGTATGTGGGTATATATTGTGGTAGTTTGATATAATCCCTTTACGCTAAGCAAACCAAAGCAAGATCAATCTCGATGAATATTACAAGTTCTGCAGTAAGGTATTGACAATATGATGGCACACTTAGTTCGTTCAACCCAAAGCATGTTTTGTTGTAAAATAAGAACCAGAGAATTTAGTAATTCAATAAACGCTTAGGATTATACATGCGTGTTTTATTTATACAGGGTGTCCCAAGAAGTAGTGTCAAGCGGTGGTCTCAATATAGGACACTTCTTAGAGCATCCAAAACACCCCCATATATGTTCTGCGATTATTAATAGTTAAACATTTTTTTTCTAAAATTTGAGAATTTTTTACCTAAACAACTTAAACGCTATTTTAAAATTTTTAATTGCCGCGACCATCTAAGAAGAAATTAGTAACTTATTTGGGAAAACTAAATACAAAAACAATAAAAAGCCGCAAAAAAAATATCAACAAATATTAAATATTCCTCTAGTTTTATTGTTATTATACCGTCTTCCTATAGAATATGCTCGTAATAAAAAAAATAAAAGGGTCACATCCGACATAATATACTAAACGTGAAAACGAGCGAGAAGCCATAGTGCGTTGTCCTAACTTTAGTATTAGTAGTAAATAAGTTAAGTATTAGTAACTACTAATTATCCTTCTCTATTGTAACTACCAACATTTCATAATCTAATGATTTCATTAGTATATCTCACAATCAACCCACCTATTCTTACTAGTATTAGTAACTACTAACTACTAACATTTCATTCGAATAATTTCGTTAGTATATCTCATAATCGACCCACCTTTTCTTACTAGTATTAGTAACTGCTAACATTTCATTTGAATGATTTCATTAGTATATCTTATAATCGTCCAGTACATATTAATAACTACTAACCGCTGTAATCGAGAAATCTCGAGACATTTTCATAATCGAATGATTTTGTTAGTATAATCGCCCGCCTCTAATTACAATGATAGATTCAACAGTTTATTTAAACTATAAATTCAAAAATATAGAACTCCGTATCAAAGAACATAACTATTTACTATAAGTTCTGAATTAAAACTTTACGGAAGGCACCCATGTTTTGCAAGAGATACTTGTACTTTTTTTAACACAAGAAATGAGTGATGAATGACTATATTAAAAAAAAATGCACTCAAAAGGAGCTTCTTAAGAGACCTATATAAAGACATTACTAAAATATTTAAAGACCTTTTAAACAAAGATTTAAAAAGGTACCTCCCAGATGTGATGACGCAATGTTTCAAAAAAAGGAAGACAAAATGTACACCCAAATGAATTATTTAAAGTGCAGTTTATAACAACTCCACTTCTACTGTTGATAAAGTCCCAAGCTGTAAAGACAATTACTCATATCATTCACATTTCACAGTCGCATTTGGACAATTGCCATTTGACACTACCTACTTTTTGTTTAAAATTAAAATATAACATCCAACGATGAATATAACGGCTGCCTTATCTACTATATATATACTTATTTTAAATTATAAATTATCGATAACAAGTAATATGACTGCCCCATCTCTAGTGTCAATTGTCAAATTTAACATTCTATGGTAGATGAAACACAACTTTTCGTTTTGTCAACAAGACATGACAACAACATAATATCAAGTTTATTGTGAAGATGGCGACTACTGGGGTTGGCTTTCGGTGGTTAGACTTATTAGAAAAAGAATTTGATAAAGCATGTGTTGGATTAGATACGTCTTTAGGTAAGTATCGTTACTTATAATTCTGTTTTTATTTTTGTTGGGAGGTCTGGATCAGTATATACCCATTATTCAAATAAAAGAATTAGTATCACTAGGTTCATTTTTCTGAGTTAATAACTATTGTTCTACTGGAAATACGTGTTAAAAGTGCTTAGCACAATATAGACTTTTAATTCTTAAGTTTCTGTTACGTAAATCAGTTAGATCAGGAGGTCATTGACACTAATTAATCAATAAGACTTTAAAAAGGTTTCTCTGCGTATTTCAGCCGATCTGGAGACCGAGGAGCCAGAGGCAGTGTTCTCGGCTCGTCAGAAAATAGCAACACTAAGTTCTTGCTTTGCTCAGCTCACCCACAAAGCCTTAACAATATTTCAACATAGCGCTAAGCTCGAGGTAGGTTGTAGTTATTAAATAAATAAAAAACCTTTACAGAAATGTGTTGATAGACATTTACATGTCAATATTATAATATTAAGAAAATATTGTCACATTTTCTTAATATTTTTTAAAGTGATGTTTAAAAAAGACTAGCATTGCCATTATCAGTGTTATTTCTTAAGCAATAAAACACTAAGTCACAAGGGAATTGTGTATTATAAATAAAACTAAAAAAAGTATTTATAATTATATTTTAAGATATATCACAAACTTATATTTAAGGAGTGAAAATTCTCCATGTAGGGCCACGATCATATGGATGTTTGTGGAGATGCCTTCGGTGAGGCATTCTGATTGGCACATTTTCTGTTGTTGTCTTTGGTTTAGGATGTTCATCCATACTAATGAGGATTTCCTGATCCTCTTCCATAGAGTTGTCTATAGTTTCGTCAAAGTCACTGTTGTCTTGTTCATCTTCACTTTCACCCCAATCATCATATTTATCTGGATCTGTTTCACTCCTGTAATAAATCTACTTGTAATCTCTTTTTATATTAAATCTAATTATAGAATGCCTTAACGCCTTAAGCATTAAAGCTTGTGTTTGTGTAATACATACTTGATTCCCTTTAGTTTTTGTAGCAACCTATCAGCTGCAACAGTTATTTCTGATGCTGGTGTTTGGTTGTTGGAATCGTCAGTAAGAAGCTTTTCGAGACGTTGTAGGGCTGCGTCCGCGCGATTTGTCAGGCCAATGAATTTCTCAGTTAACTGTTGTAACTCTTTTTCATTGAAAACTCCTTGAGACGAGTTGCGAAGTGCATTCTCTAGTCTTTTACAAGTTATGTCTCCCTGAAAACACATTGTTACATTTAATTTGTGTGTTGCATGCAAGTATTTCATACTATACAAAATTAATATGTTAGACTAATAGTTATTTTATTTAAAATCTTAAGTTTTACCTGTGCTGGTCTGTTGCTTAGTAATTTTATAACTTTGTTGTCATGATTGCGCATAGTATTTTGAATATTTTGTAGCTCATGAAATGTTGATGCAGTTCTGAAACATATTTTAATTATTTACTTAAAGCCTCAAAAAAATTAAAATCAAAACTTAAATCACAGTGGTATTGCTTTAATAAAATATTTATGGATCTGTATATTGTCTTTAGGTGTTCAAAATTATGTATAGCATAGTAGTGTGGTTACACAGTAGTGATTTAGTTACATAGTCATGAAGATTTATTTAAAAGGCTTTCATACTTGTTTATCAGCGAGTCTATAAGTTTATCTAGCACATCTGCCACATGGTTAGGGTCGTCCAGCTGAATCCTTTGACAGGAGTCGACAAAGCGTTTTTGTTCGTTTAACACTTCTTGCATCTGAAAAATAATATTTCAAATACCAGAGGAATAGAAAAAGGATGATCTTGCGCGAGAGAACTATTGAGGTGCATTGATTGATTAAATTTAATAAATCGTTATTGTTATTATTAATAATTTATTTCCCGTATTAGTTTTAATTTATCATAAATAGCTCTGTTATGCTACTGTGACAAATAAAACTTTTGAGTTGTATTAATTGTGTTTATGGCGACTAGGACAAACATACTACGCATTTATAATATGTGTGTACTACGTTTAATCCTTACCGTTATTAGATTTCGAGTTCTGTGATTGAGTTAGTCACGATTTTAATTTAAAACATTACTTAGAAGTTTGACGATTTAAATGCAAAATATGAGTTTTGCGCTTACAATTTTGTCTTTCGCAACTTACGGACTGGCCTTCGTAAAGCTTGTCGTGCGTCTAAATTCTCAATGATGGTTACATGTTTATGTTCAATGCAATGTTTTCCAACTTTGAGTAGGTATTTTAGAAATTTGTTAATAGATATATCATAATATTAACACTTAAATTATGAAAAAGGGTAAACTCTATTGAAAACGTGAATAGTATGTAAAAAATATACAACTAAAAAGATTGCGTATCTCTACATTTATCATTGGTTTTAGAAGCTCAGTTATCCTAAGTTTACAAATTTAACTAATTAATGCAGATATATGGTATTTTCTTTCATTAATGTCAGTTTTATAGCCTTATCTTTTGAGCCCAAAAAGATAGATGTATCACTAAATCAGTAGAACTTTAAAGGATGCTAAATAAAATGTAAAACATTACACACACTGTATTACCGAACTATGGACTGCCAAAATCATTGAGAATTTGAGATATTACAATTTTGGTTTTAGACATTACCTTCAGATCAATTTTATACGTATTATCATTGAGTCGCCTAGTGAAAGCAGCTTCTAAATCGGCCGAGTTGAGACGGGCATCTCTTTGTCTCCTGGCTAGTGCGCGCACTCCATCAGCCAGTTCACGTCTGGTCACATTGACGAGAGCCATTCCGTCTCTCATTAATGACTCCAAGAGTATACTTCGTCGCCACGTATCCGCATACGCTCCGCTTACCTTTAAGAACAACGTACATCAACCAGTCAAATTCCTTAATATATAAAGCTTATTTCATTATATATCAATACGAAAGCATTTATAAATATTGTGCAATAAACACTCTCAGCTAATAAAAGTGTTAAAATGAAAAAACGGATGAAAAATACAACAGGCAGAAGAACAAAGAGTTTGGAGTACATTCCCTTAGTAGGCAACTTAAGGAATGTACTGTATTTAAAACACCTTTACGTAAAAATTACAAACATTCTAATGCTTACTAATAATAAATTAAGACCACACTGCGTTCAACCCACCTATTACTTAAACTTATGTCGTGTTGAATCGTGTATTTTATCAAATAATTAAAAATGCTCACCTTTTCTAGTAAGTGGGAGTGGGAGTTTATTTGGTTAGTAAGATTTTGCGCAATTTCAACGAACTTGGCTTGACTGCGCTCAATTTTTTCAGTGCTCTCCTTGATAGAAGCCTAAAATGGGAATATTTTTATGTAGTACTGTTTGTAGTTTACACGATCAGCAATATTTTTTTACAACAGTTTAAACGACGTATTAGGTAACTTATTTTTAACTACGGCTCGATGGGTGCTGTTCCCTAGGCGTCCCGTTTATAAACCGTTAAAAGTGTTTTACTCAATACCTCGTTTTCTTATTATGGTTGCGTGTGTCTAATTTCACACATTGTTTCCAAGAACTCACCTGTATGCTCGTTTGTAACATGTGGAGCCTGTGTTCCAACCTCTCTGCGGCTAATTGCGCTCTTTCTAGCCTTAATGATAGAGTGGTCTCCACGCGATCTGAAAGGATTTGGAAACCTTATAGCAACGCTATCGAGTATGTATTCAAATGGCAATTCAATTTAGAACTGCAGCCATCTATTAAGTGATGCCCTTATTTGTTCAATTGCGAATGACGACCACGGATAGGCCACTGAAATAGGATATGACACAATAAGATCACTGCAATTCATCGTTTGGAAATATTTGTTTTGAGTTCAAATGTAGAGATTCAGGTCAGGACATCAAAAAGTGTCTATTTATCGTCGGATGAACAGCTTTGAACACGTCAATAACTCAGGCCTGTGATGTTGCGTAGTTTGAGGTTGCATGTTTCATACTCACCGAGTTTGTCTTGTATGACGTCGAGTCGCCTCGCCTGTTTTACTTGCTGCGCGCTTATGGTGTCCAGCACTCGTAACCGCTCGTCAATGTTTGTTAATATGCTTGTGAGCTCCTGGTAAAGAAATATAGTGTTTTTTTATTATAATATGAAATGACTAACATTGTTCAAAGTATCATCATCAGCGTTGTTATTTGAATATTATATATTTTTTTTAGACTAGCATAGGTTTTACTTGATGGTCAGTTAAATGCCCTTATTATATAACACCTTAACAAGACCTATTTTGGCTTTGCATAATCTAATCCACAGACTGAAAGCGAAACCCGATTAAACTTGACCGTGGTGACTTCGACGGAATTTCGATCCTACTACTCATTTCATATCCAAATTTCCAGTCCAACATGTTTCAAGAAAATATTAAATATTGATTAGTAAAATTCCTACCCGGTAAACTCCGACCCTTTGATTATAAGCCATACATTGCTAACATTAGACCAGCGAGCACGTCAACAAGAAATACCGCATACTTCAACGGACACTCCGTTAAGTATAGTTTAAGCAACCCGCCCTTTTAACTATAGATTACTCTAATCGAAGATATATTTTGGTACCTTCGGTGAGAAGGCAAGTGGTCCGTGGGCACGTAGCGTATGCGGCTCGGCCAGCGATGTGGGCGCTAGGCAGAGGCACGCGAGCGCCGCCACGGCCACACTTAACATCGCCCCGTCTGTAAACATTCAAATATTAGGATGTTTAAAGGCATAGCTTCCTATGGGAGGGAAAACTGAAACGCAACCTTACCGCTAATCCTCACAACCTCCCTTAAAAATTAAAATTTAGAATGTTTGAAGTGATAGTTTCCTATGGGAGGGTAAACTGTAACGCTACCTTACGCCTTACTACGCTAGTTTGCCTGACAACTCCTCGCTTGTAAACATTAAAATATAAGAACGTTTGAAATGATGGCTTTCTACGGGGCTTTCTTACACAACGCTAGTCTGTATGACAAACCAATTAGAATAGTTTAAGATATCACTTGTGTTATTTGTCCTAATAGGTTCCATAGCAACGTTTTTTTTAAATAAAACTTAAAGTTAGAATTATTATTGCAGTATAACTGCTAAAAGTTGTAAAAATTATTGACGTCATTACAATCTTTGTAGTAATTGAGGTGTCGAAAGCACGGATCTTTCACAGCTAAGTGATAAAAGAATAACGCCGTCTTGGTTAACTTGCAAATTACGTCAAGGAACTAGCATTAGGAAAACATATAAAATAATCCGATCCCAGTTTTTATGTTAGATATCATTAATATGTATCAGTTAAAAGTCGAAGTCTATGTTTATTTTGGTGTACAAATAGGGTAAAACGTATCATTTGAATCAATCAGATTTAAATTATTATAAATTTTACAATTATACTATATAATTATACTTTATGTAAATCATAACTTCCTCGATAAAGCCCAGCATTAAAGAACAGCTTAACAATTCATTACGGAGAGCGGAAATTTCACAGAAGGCTTTCGCAAAAATGATTAATTCTCTCGGTAATGGATACGTATGATGGATGAATGAAAAATAAAAACAACGGTAAATTAATTATGTCCAAAGCTCGTCTGATAATTGAGCTTTGTTTACATGTCAGATACGCAGCTCTTGAAAGCTCAATAATTCGTTCTTGTTTCTGCGGTATATCGCTGGGATGTTTGTTTATTTTGTATCAATAAATATTCTGTATTTCGTTTATTGGTGTATGCTTAATGTCAAAACTTACAAATCTTACTAATCTCTCCCAACTTTCGCATTGTGATGAGCGCAAAACCCCAGAATTCGCGGTCCGGCTTGCTAAATTACTTCCGCGAGAAAAGATATAGATTTGAGTATACTCGCCTTTAACATTACAAAGGACTTAGAGCCGTGTTTATCCTATGCTCAAAGAAATCCTAGAATATAGTTTTTCCTTGCTTTATTTATTTAGCTACTCAGAGTATATTTTAAAGATACGAACGATCATAGATATTTGATACAGGGGAAGAAATGTTGTCGAATTTTATTGTTAATCAGAGGTACTTATAAAATCGGCAGCGATTATTACTATTTACTTATTTTAGTAAGGATGGAATTAATATTCATTTAAGAAGTAAAGATCTCTTCTAAACGCGAGGGTTTCGTACCGGATGAGAAAAAGACAATCGCCAATTCTTCCGGCAGAAATTGCGTTAGTAGTGACCAAAGCGATACGTATAATTCCCGACGCGTGTAGATTTGCATTGTTTATTCTTACAGCAGGTGTGCTCTCTCGTTCTTATTATGTGCATCCATTTGTTTGCATTCTCCGACGGTTCGAAGACCTAAGTGCTGTGGCTCTGACCTATGGGTGGCTTATGCGTAACTTTTATATCTAGCAATCTAGATACAACGTCGATACAAGCGGTTGAATTATTAATTTCTATTTATATTATTAAAGTCACAAGTGCAGAAATCGATGCTAATAAAAACTCAACTAATAGGCGACCCTATTGTTACCAAGCAATTTCTTCATCAACGCCAGTTAGGAAAATAAATTCTGCTATAAATTAAACATGGCCTTTTAAATAAAACACTAACTGGATTGAATGTATTAGTTAAATTTATTTAAAAATTATTTAAACTACGGCCCTACGTTTGTCTCCCCGTGGCCACGGCTGCTGCAAATCATCCGAAACTAAATAATTTTTACATTTAACTAATATACTTCGCGTTTTAAATCGTTAAAGTGTTTTATTTCAATCTATACTACTCGCGTAAACTGCAGACAGTATGTAAACATGTCAATCTCTTAAGATGACCTTAATAAAAGGCTGGTTTAAAATTTATTTGGTGTTTTAAGGAGTAACTCGTTGTATTTGATTAGCAGCGCATAATAGAAGGGATTAGCTAGTTCTTCAATGACTAGGGCGATTATTTTGATCGCTTCTCATATTGTCACTACTGACGTCGCCCACACATGGTCGGGGTCAATCTTTCGTCAGTTCAACTTGGTCTCATATAGTTACGTAATCCGTCTCCCATTATTCGTCGGTCACGGTGCCCGATTAAATCTCGTATGAATATCTATTTATATCGCTAGGTTATTATGCCCAGCTCGCACCGCTTTTAAATAACTACACGTTCAATAAGAAACATTTAAAAGTAATTATAATTATTGTAAGCCGATCGAATACATCGATAACAGGATACTAAAGCTGAATTGGTAGCGAGCGGTCACGTATTTTGATGTGGAATTAATTTGTCACGCAATGCCGCCCTTACTAAACCTCACTAGATGAAAGATTTTGAGGTTTTTCCTACGCGCGGTAGCTATGATGATGTAAAAATAGCCAAGTTACTTTAATAAGCTAACTTTGAAAGACATACATGATAAGTATCGGCGCACGCGAATAGGTGCTGGTACATTTTTGAGGTCCAAGAAGGGAAATTCATACAACATTCTTCATGATTATAATGTTTTGTTGCTTATAGCTTAGATAGATTTAAATGCCATATTAAAGGTGAAAAAATTGGTACATTTGAGATTTTTGTGTTAAAACGGGGTAGGATATAGAATTGGATTGATATGGAATAAGGAATTTGTGGTTAGTGTTTAATGTACAGCTAGCTTCATAGATATAAGCTTAAACTGATGCGCCAAGGCATCGCACTTGGTAAGCTCTTCAAACAAAAGGTTATTGAATGTCGAAGCTTTAATTATTTTTGATGAGAATGGATGCATCTAAGCGCCCCGTTTGAGCTCGAGCCGATAAAAATCTATTTGTTCGATTGCTTTGTTTGCTTTCTATATTGTTGAGCATATGTTTTGTAAGCACGTCTCTCGTTAATTTTCTTTTCTGTTAGTGTTACTAAATACAAAAGAGATCTATTTTAAAGTAAGAAAATATAGCCCTAGTTAATATTCCGAGAGCGTTGACCGTGTCCTTTGGAAAGGTCGCAGGATCAAAATCTACTTTACAGAGAAGGCTAACGGAATTTTGCTCTTTTGACCCTTCGATTAACATTTTCTTTTACTAAATGTAATTATACAGACGTTACGCTGTAGTAGTTAACACATACGCCTCTTGTCAAAGTGCACTAGGACTGGAGCGAAGCCAAAACGGCCGAGCATATATCCAGGTATCTTTTTCCTTTTGGTACGATTATCCGCGCTAATACTATTTATAACGTGAGATTGGTAATTTTATACTATAACACTTTATGGTATCAACGTGCGTGGACTATCTACCTACAAAAAGAAAAGCAAACAATCAGGAATAAAACAAGACATATTTCAAAATCCTAAATAGAGATATCGTGTTTGTTTTCATAAGTCGTTGGCCTCCACGTCTCTCCCTGTCCTATTGTGTGGTTCAGCTTCCTGGTGAGATCACGTTTATTTCTAAGCCTGGTTATGCTGACGTTGACTGCTTCTTTATAAAGTATCCTGTTGTTCCCACAATTTAAAGCAACCCAGTTTAACGAAGCACCGGTCCCAGAAATGCAGTGAAATTAATCGGTTTTTTTCTCGCTTAGTCATGCTTCCGTTTAGATTAAAAATTAGAAAATGAATGTTTAGAAATAGCTTTTTATAATATGACGACGCTAAAATGTATCATTTCAATGGAAGAGCCATAGATAGTCCTAACGCTATCATTAAGTGGAAAATAATTATTTCTTTCAATATAATATAATAACATCTTTGCTAAATAACAGCCTTGCTTTTAAATTATAGAACTATAACTTTGTAAAGGTCAATAAATATAAATGAGGGTTTAAATCCCGTTAGGGGCTAAATATTAGTTCAGAATTTGGAGTTTGCTCCCGTGGACAATATATACGTTTGCAATAAAAACTCGGTGACGGCAGATTAGTAATACATTTTATTTCCGGAGTTTTATTCAGTTCAATTCTGTACCTTATAAAATTTCGTATCGTATTGTCAATTCAGACATCCGCATCGTTAGAATGTGAATACAAATGCTCAAACCTGCATAGCATCCTGTTCGCGGAATGTCGTCGGGTAGCCGATTATAAATTTTCACTAAGTATGCGCGCAATTCACATGACTCACTCGAACTATTCCCCTTGGACCTCCATGAAGGCTCAGCTCCTTTATTATTTGATGTTTACCTAATTTATCACGTTATAATAATTATCTTCGGAATTCTAAATACGGCATACTAATTAAAGCAGACAGCCGCAGAGTTAAGCCCGCAGCCGTGTGCTGCGCCCTGTCATCAAGCCCGTCCCCTGTCAGGTTACGGTAAAGGTAAATAGCATTTACGAAAATGTACACGTAACTAATTCTAAATATGTACACATTAATGTTACATGTGCTGTAAATTTACGTTGTAATGGCTACCATAAAACACGCTGATATAAATAAAGATAGCTCTTCTAGATCGCCTTATCTTCTTGACTTAGGTCGTGCCATTGTTCGTCCTCTTTTTACCTTCTATTATCACTAATTCGTTACAGAAAGAACTAATATTCTTGAATCCCTCTTTGTATATCAAACCCTGTTCCTCCGAGAACAGGGTTTGAAATACAATCGGTAACATTTACCATCACATCATATATATTACCGATTGTAATTCAGTTGAGCTTTCGGATATTAAAAATAGTTTAGTTAATAATAATTTGCCGAGTCAAGCTATTAAATATAAATACGTGTAGAATAAAATAGCGAACCCAGTTTTATGTGGGTTAAATA